TCATAAGCATGCACTTAGTTTTTTTAAATAACACCCAGGAGCAAAGAAGAAGATTTTCAAAGAATTAATGCTTTTTCACTATATAATCTATAGAGACCCACCCAAACACCAGAACCCCTGACCCTGGGGCCATGAAATTCACAATTTTTGAAAAGGCATCCTTATGCATCATAAGCATGCACTTAGTTTTTTTAAATAATACCCAGGATCAGAGAAGGAGATTTTCAAAGAATTAATGCATTTTCACTATATAATCAATAGAGCCAGTGCATTAAGGCAACACCCATCAGCCACGCAATTCTCAATTTATAGGACCCGACACAGTGCTGCGACTTATCTTATTTCTATTTCATACTGACATCGTTTTGAATGAGTAATTAATTATTGACTATATTATTATGACAGCAAAGTGTTTCGGCGGTTTGATATCGTACTGGTGTATTAAAAATCAAAATCACGGCCCCGCCTTCCTCAGGGATCCAACCGTTATTTCTATTGTGGCAAAATAGCTTTTGTAAGCAAATCACCAATACTTTTATGTTTAGCATATGCAATCATTGGTTTTGTTTGAAAGATTTCTTTGCATTTTTCATCTTTTAAAACTAATAGTATTTTAATAATTTGGATTTCAGACCTTTGATTCTTGGGTCATACTTTGTAATTAGAACCATAGGTATTTCCTTTGTTTTCTTGGTTTTATGTAACGTTATGACTCTGTTTACAGCTAAGGATTCATTAATAATTGGGTCAATCTCAATTCTCTTGTATTCTCTGTTTAAAAGGTGTGATCTGAACTCGAGAAGTTCGTTGTGCAATATTTCCTTGTCAGTTGTATTGCGTACATGTCTTATGCATTCCCCCTTAATAAAGCCTTTAAAAACTGATTTAGGGTGAGCGCTGTGGCGGTGCAAATATTGGAATGTATTTGTTGGTTTAATGTATGACTTAACGTCAAGAATTTGAAATTCCTTGAAACGGTTTCCTTTGTATACATATGTGTCCAGAAATGGTAGTGATGCTTCAGATATTTCATAGGTAAATTTCAATAAAGGATGACATTCATTTGCTATTTCGAAAAAGCGAATAATTTCGTTTTTCGGGCCCTCATAAATCATAAATCCGTCATCACGGAATCGCCCATGGAAGCAAATTTTGTGTTTGTATTCATAGTTGTTTACTAGCATTTCAGTTATTTGATATACTCTTAGGTCCGATATTTCTGGACTACTTGGGCTTCCCATTGGACACCCGATTGTTTGTTTGTAATATTTGCCATTGAATTCAAATAACGTGTTTTCGAGAATGCACTTTAGTAAAAACATCAAGTCAGCTGTGTCAGGACAAGGAATGTCTGAATGCAAGCTGCAGTTAAAATTCGATAACGCTTCTTCTACCGCCGCTAAGAGTTCATTGAAGGTCATATTCGTATACATTGATGTTATATCGTAAGTGATGAGTAAACAGTTCCTTGGAGGCTTGATACTTTCAATTTTGTTGATGAAATCTTTAGTATCTTTGATATAAGTTTTCTGAGATTGAACGATTTGTAGTAGGAAATAATCGACGTAATGACTTATTCTCTCCGTTGGCGACCCTATTTGTGATATGATGGGTCTACATTTTGGCAATGAATTGTCATTTGCCCCCATTTTATGTATTTTAGGCAATAAATAAAGTCGTCCTGGTCGTAGATTTTGTTCGTTTGTTTTTGTAAGGTAGGAAAATGTTTGTTTATCTATTTTTCTTTTTTGGAACATTTCGTCTATCTTGTCCTGTACAGTTTTATAGATTAAGGACAAATTAGGTTTTTCAATTTCAGTATAATACTGTGTTGTTAATTGACGCAGACCTTCCTCAATGTATTGTTTTTTGTCCATTATCACTACAGTGTTACTTTTGTCTGCTTTTTTGATAACGATGTCTTTATTGTTCAGTAGGTCATAAAGTGCCCTCCGTTCGGAAGGTGATATATTAGAAACATTTGATTTGATATGAATAGATGACAATTCTGATTGTGTTAGAGCAATATAGTTTTCCAGTGCTTGGCATGTATAGCTAGGTATAAAGCCTGCATTTTCTCGAAAAGGATGTAAACGTGCATTTTCATCTGTGCTAAAATGATATTTGCATTTCAGTTTTCTTGCAAATTCTAGAAAATCTCTCATGACTTTGTTTTTGACGTTTTTTGTTTTTGGAGTTGGAATATATTTTAATCCCTTTGATAATAGCAATGTTTCACTTTCTGTAAGTGAATGATTGGAGATGTTCAGTACATAGCTTTGAGCTTTTCTTACTTTGGCCGAAAGGAAGACTTACGAGAGGAAGACTTTCCTGTTCTTTTTTGTCTTTTTGCTATATTGGCGAGCTTATTAAAGCGTCGAGCCATGTTGCGTACAACAGAATAAATGACTTGGTGATTCATATGCGGCTTATAAACTAAAATACTACTTGGTTACACCCAAAAGGCATTTCATTGGTTAAAGAGATTTCTTACCAGTGTGTAAGGAAAGAAGGATAACTCCAGTTTGTGTAGCATAATTCAACGATTTAATTGCATAATAATATACCAATAATATGATTTTGGTACACTGCTGGTTCAAATAAAATTTCATAATCAAACAGTAGTTAGTAAGGTTTATAGTAACGACCTCTTCCCCTTGGAAAATTTCTTGTAACACCTCGACCACGTCTGTTCACATTGCGGATGTTTTTTGAAGAGGATTCTTTGATGAATTTCGTGAAATTTTCGATTTCAAGAAAACATTTACTTTTCTCTTCGTTAATGAATTGGTCGATTTCTTTTTTGGTTTCCGCCGCACTGCCCAGACTTTCAAATGCATATTTTCTGCAAGATTTCATTGAAGTTTCCTTGGCTTGCACTTCGGTATTAAGATATACCATTAACTGTGCAAGTAGATCACTAGTCATTGGTTTTGTTAGATTTCTCCACTGAGTTTGAAATTTTTCTTTGTCCATTGCATTGGTGAGTTTAGGAGTGCACTTTAAACTGATTGAGAGCCATGGCGGACTGCTACCCGACTGTAGATAGAGATTAAAGATTTCTTTTATCTTTGCTAATTCGTTTCTTTCTGTCATTAGAGTCTTGATTTCAACTTTGCAGGACTTAGCCACGTTTTGCTAGTGCATTAAGGCAACACCCATCAGCCACGCAATTCTCAATTTATAGGACCCGACACAGTGCTGCGACTTATCTTATTTCTATTTCATAATTTTCCCGCCCTAACACCAGAACCCCTGACCCAGGGGCCATGGCTTTCACAATTCTGGAAGAAGCCCACCTCCTCATCATAACTATGTACTTAGTTTATCACCTTAATGCCCAGGAGCAGAGGAGAAGATTTTCAAGGTATTAATGCATTTTCACTATATAGTTGATAGAGCCCCACCCTAACACCAGAACCCCTGACCCTGGGGCCATGAAATTCACAATTCTGGAAGAGGTACTCTTGCTTATCATAACTATGTACTTAGTTACTTTATTAAATATCCAGAAGCAGAGAAGAAGATTTTCAAAGAATTAATGCATTTTCACTATATAATCAATAGAGCCCCACCCTAACACCAGAACCCCTGACCCTGGGGCCATGAAATTCACAATTCTGGAAGAGGTACTCTTGCTTATCATAACTATGTACTTAGTTACTTTATTAAATATCCAGAAGCAGAGAAGAAGATTTTCAAAGGATTAATGCATTTTCACTATATAATCAATAGAGCCCCGCCCTAACCCCAGAACCCCTGACCCTGGGGCCATGAAATTTACAATTTTGATCAGGCACTTTTGCTCATCATAACTATGTACTTAGTTACTTTATTTAATACCCAGGAGCAAAGAAGAAGATTTTCAAAGAATTAATGCTTTTTCACTATATAATCTATAGAGACCCACCCTAACACCAGAACCCCTGACCCTGGGGCCATGAATTTCACAATTTTGGAAGAGGCAGTCTTGCTCATCATAACTATGTACTTAGTTCCTTTATTTAATACCCAGGAACAGAGAAGACGATTTTCAAAGAAATAATGCACTTTCACTATATGATCTATATAGCCCCACCCTGGGGCCAGAACCCCTGACCCTGGGGCCATGCATTTCACAATTTTGGTAGAGGGCTCAATGCTTATTACAATCATGCCAACAGTTTGACTGCTTGATGTCCAGGAGTAAAGAAGAAGATTTTTAAAGATTGCATTATTTTTGGTGGTTTTAGCCCCACCTCTCAGGCCCCAGGGGGGCAGGGACCATGAAATTCACAATTTTTGTTCCCCTTCACCCATAGATGCTATATACCAAATTTGGTTGAAATTGGTTGAACGGTTCTAGACAAGAAGTTAAAAATGTTCAAAAGTTAACGCACGACGGACGACGCACGACGACGGACAAAAACAGATAGCAATAGGTCACCTGAGTGACTCAGGTGACCTAAAAATGCTTATTTTTTCACCAATTTCAAAGGGTTTTATAACTAAAACATTGTATTTTATAAATAATATATGTTTAATTTCATATGCGTAAAACATAAGAAAAGATTTAAGAAACATTTATTCATATCCAAGAATATTTTAAAATGTGTCGATGCTTTAAAGCCCGATTTCATTAGAAAATATCGCATACACTCCTTATTTAAAGAGCTGGAATTAGGGGTAATTAACTATTTAACACTGGTATTAAAATTATCAGTCAATTACCATTGTACTGTTCTTTGCATTCAACAAAGATTTTATGGCCAAATTGCCATTAGTATTGAATTAAATGGGAGTAAAATGTAGGCGAGAAGCGAGAGTTAGCGTGCGTAGTTCTTATGGGAGATCCTATTTGTATAATACTTGCATGTAATTTTAAAGACACATTCATAATTGATTAAATTAAATTATGAATTCAATTCAAGAATATTAATCGTTAGCTTATTTCACATATGCATTACATGTACAATAACACCTTTTAATGTTCAAAGTACATTTGTATTTGTATTTTTGTTTTATTTTTTCTTGCATGAAACAATAAGTGAAGAAAAGAAATATATATATGGATTACAAGAATAATTAACTATCGCAAGAAATTGTTCAAAAGAACAAACTGCATTGTAAAATGAAATTGGGGTGTTATATATATATGATGTCGTTAAAATGATTATCCTTATTATAACTGTTAAATGATAAAACATAAAGACGAATAGAACTATTGTGACAACGAGGTTCATTCTCCTTCTGAAATGAGTGTTTACAGTTGAAGTTCTCAGTGCTCTTATTTTAAAGCAATGCAGTCTTATTACTATAAAAAGAGGAACCAAACCTGATACGGTCTCGACTACTAAATGAATTACAGCGTTCATTCGAATCATATACTGGAAATTATTTTCAATGTTAAGAGCTGACCTTTTTAAACAAATGACTGGAATCATCATTAAAAAGCTGTATATCCATGTCATTGCAGAAAAACTAATGACAATAGAAGAAGTTAAGTAATTTCTGCTCTGCAAAGGATGAACCGTCAATAAAAATCTAATGAGAGAAAGTAAAAGCAAGTGACCTATTGAACTCAAATACGTCATCAACTGTAAACCTGAATACAAGTCGGATGGAAGAAGAAACATGCTTTCCCACGCATAAAAATAAAGATAATCATAAATGTTTGTAAAGGTTACGAAATAGAAGAAAATAATACTGAGAAAGTCTGGAAGTGCCAGACATCCGATGACTGTGAATGTAGGCGTGTGAAGCTTCTTAGTGCACAGTATTTTGAACAATGTAAATGCATTACCTACTAAGCCAAACCCTCCAACTATCAAGATTAAATAGCACAACACGCTATGAAAAATAGGATAATCAAATATAGGCCAAACAAATGGTACGAAGTCAATAACAAATTGTTCATTGTTAGAGTTCTTGTAGTCACTGTATTCATAATAAGAGCTGAGATTTTCATCGTTGTTACCAAAAATGATTTCCCAATTCTTGTTTAAATAGATGCTTCCATTTGTAAGATTTATGAAACTTCGTTGGTAATTGGTTAGCAAATCGTCTTTTCCAGACAAATTAGAGATGATCATTTGTGTTTTCAGAATTCAAAGTCTTCTAGATTTGAAGGGATCTTATATGCTCTGTAAAAAAAATACACCTCAGAAATATATTAAATATCATAAGACGTGACTTTGAAAGTTAATTCAACTGAGAATTCATGTAATATTTATATTTCTTTAGAAGAATATACGCTACACTTACGTTTAAATGGATTTCAATATAACCAAACATAAAAAAGTACATTGCGCCATCTGAAATCACTTGCTTTCTTTGATCCCTACATAGCAATATAAAAGACAGCAGACAGCCTCGTAATCAAGCTTGTTCACGTTTGTAAAAGCATGGAAATGTTACTGTTATTTCTAACTAAAAATATCAAATAAATATGCTTTGTACATACAGGGGTTTTTGTTGCTTGTTTCCTTACTATAAGTGGGCTTATTATTTATTGTCAGTATAAAAAAGCTGTTCACAACAGCTCTATATGGCACAATTGTATATTAATATCACGTCCTGCGATGTAATAGGCATTGGTGTTATATAAAATTTGGAAGTAAAATAATGTTAAAGTAAAATAAAGAAGAGGCCCATGGCCACATCGCTCACCTGAGCACATTGGCTAGGAAGAAGCAGAAATCAGTTAAGTATTGAAGAGATTGGACAGGGGGCAAACTTAAATTTACACTACCTCAGGATGCTTCCATATCAATATTACTAATCATGGTTTCGCTGTTCTTAAACAGAAGGATTTTGAATATTTTCCCCTATGTATTCCTATGTAAAATTCTGATCGCTTATTGTGGCCCCACCCTACCCACTCTTAATTTGATCAAATTTGAATCTACACTACCTGGGGATGCTTCTATAATTATATGACTAATAATGGCTATGTGTTCTTGAGCAGAAGATGATTCCAATATAATCTGCAAAACTTTGACTCCCTGTTGTGCCCATAACCTCTCGGGAGTTATCATTTGATCAAACTTGATTCTACAATATCTAACGTTGCTTCTGTATAAATGTTACTAATAATGGCTAAATTGTTCTTAAGAAGAAGATTGTAAAGACATTCTCTATGTAACGTGTATAATCAAGCTCTTACAAGGGATATATATGTTTTCCTTTTACCCTGTCTGAGTAAATGATTGGAATGATTATTAAGAAAGCTCTGTCTGAGGGTATATCACACAGTACTCTTATCTAGAGACGGGGACTGGGTAATGTACTATTTGCACCGTGTTTCTCCCTTAGGTTCCCATTGATGAATAAAAACCGGGTATCTCAATCTTTTTCAGATTTACTACTCCCAGAACTTAACATTAATTTCCTAGGATACTTGCCCCTGGTGTTTATAACTTTTATTTTGATCTTACCGTTAAGGTTTTCCATTCTCAATCCTTCAATATCCGTCACATACATAATACTCTGATATTAAGTTAAAGCATTTTAAGTAGGAAAGGATTTACCAAGAGAAAGTTTCAAAAATGTAATTAACTGAGCAGTAATTAATTAACAAAGATTATATTGGAGTTTATGGGGACAAGCGATCTTTTTTAAAATAAAAATTCAAATAAGATCAATAAATACTGTAGTGGAAACATGCATTAAAACACATAAGAAATAGAATGATTGATTGATTGTATGTTGTTTAATGTCCCATTCGAGAATTTTTCACTCATATAGAGACCTCACCATATACCAGTGAAGGGCTTTTAGTTTTGACCTTTACTCGGCAATCGGGGCCATTGAGCAGTGAGGGATCTTTATCGTGCCAAAGCCTATCGTGACACGGGGCCTCGGTTTTTATGGTCTCATCCGAAAGACCCGCAACTTTTACTTCAAAGTGCCGAGCGCATGGCGAAGGAACAGCTGCTACCCATTTTTCATCGACTTAGGTCAGTCGCGGCCGAGATTCGAACTCACGACCTCCCGATCATGGAGCGAGCGCTCTACCGACTGAGCTACCGTGAATGGTAGAATTAGAATGAAAATTGAAAACTATTTTTTTTAACCAGGTATTTTTTTTTCAAATTGATTTTTTTATTAATTAAAAATAGGGAATAACTCTTACCAAAATTCAGGGTCATAAATTAGGACACATCCCACCCTTACATGCTTATTGTAATAAATCGGAATTATGTCTAAAATCACTGAGTATTCAACACCTACACATTTGTTGGGATGGAATACCTCTACTTCTTTATTGCTAATTCTAGCTACGTCCAACTTCTTCACTCTTCAGCTAGCCTCTGAATGCCTACCTTTCCCATATCTTTGCCTTATATACCCTTTGGCTTGTCCATTTCAAGAATTGTCAGGTCTATCTAGTATTTGAAGTCTTCAATGCGTTTTACTCAATGCCCCTTAACCATTACACTTATATTTTCCTATTCTAAACTTTTACCCACTGTTTTGGCCCCGCTCTACCCCAAGGGGTCATGATTAAGACAAACTTGAATCTTTACTATCTGAGGATACGTCTGTATTAAGGATTTACCCAACGTACCTCTCCTACTGATGATTTTTCAAGATATTTTTTATTTAAGATAATAGTGCCATCAGATGTTCGTAGACAAAAAAATCAGCATGCATTACCAGGGGTTTTAACTTGATATATCTTAAAAAGATATCAATTGATGAAAATTCTTGTATAATTCAAAGAAAAATATGCAAAAATTACTAAAATATATTTTAGACGTTTTGTTCATCCAAACTTGTTTTAGAAGAAGTGTACAACAGCATATATAGACATTAAAATGTAGTACACAGTACACAGTTTCTTTAAGTATCGGAAATCTTCAACTCCAGGGAAAAAGACAATAAAGATCAAACTACTTTGCGTATGTCCTTAATTTGACTAATAATGGCTTAGCTGTTTTCGAAGAGTTCTTTAAAGATATTTCCTATATATTCCTACGGTAAACTTTAACCCCTTTTGTGGCCCTGTCCTACCCCAAGGGGTCATAATGGGAACAAACTTGAATCTACACAACATGATGATACTTTTATAATAATATGACTAATCATACTATGCTTGCCTCGAGAAGAAGATTTTTAATGACTTTTCCAATATATTTCTATGTAAAACTTCGATCCCCTCTTGTAGCCCCGCCCTACCCCGGGGGCTATGATATGAACAAGCTTGAATCTAGAGTATGTTATAAAGCTTTCACATAAAACTCATCTTTTCTTTCCCTGTTGTTTTTGAAAAAAAAGAGATTTTTTAAAGATGCCTCCAAATATTCTCGAATTCTTAATTATCTCCCTTTGAAAGAGGGCGTGGCACTTCCTGTGATAAATTTAAATCCCCTTCACCTAATGATGCTTTATGGCGAAATTCAACATTATACAATATAACTGTTTTTGGGGTCAGTACGATGATTTAGCCACCTGATGGTACAATATTCATCCAGCCCGAAGGCTGAGTGCATATTGTACTTTGAGGGTGTCTGAATAATCATATTGACTAAAAACAACAATAATTATTTTATTATAAGATTGAATAATTAAATGATGCAAACTCCTTTAACAACCATGCCATCTTTCCTGTTTACATTTGCTGAAGTCGTAGCCAAATTAAGGCAGTGAAAGAAGCGGGGTTAAAATATACATAACCAATGAAATAAAGACTGCAAGAACACAGATATATTTATTTAATTGCTTGGTTTAGAAAATGGCAGAAGCCTGTGCAAAGACGAATAATGACCCCCCAGCCATAGAAAAAAAATGATTTTTTGTAGAAAAAGGGCCTAAAGTTGTGCGTCATATAAAAAATTGACACACGTTGAAAAATGACCCCCTTTTCATGTGCATGATACAAAATTTATAACAGGTGATTGATGCCAAGGTTTGAACCTCAATTGAACCTCAATGTTTAATATTCTTTTTTATGCCCTTTTTGAACAAAACTGGACGAACGCGCAATTAAAATGCAATAAAATAGCATTACATTTACATGCATATTTCTATCTTTTAAGCCTACATTTGTATTGGGTTCTCAGCATATATTGAAAATCGCAAAATGGCTACTATTCGTTATAACTCTTAACGTAATTTCCTTTGACTGTTTCATATTTGGATATTTGACTGATTATAGACATTCATAGCTAAATAACAGACAAGGGGATATTCTGGCTTTTCATTGGTAAACATGTCTCCCAAAGTAATCGCCATGCTTTGAGTAGGATCAACTTTCTTAAAAAAATGAAGGGAAAAAAAGGAATGATATGTTTTCGGAAAGTTATGCAATGTAGTATATAGGTATATTTTGAATGACATAAAAAGTCATTTTTCTACATTGCACCAAAACTAGATTTCAAATGCAAAATTAATACTGGTTATGCTTATGTTAACTCCGATTCTTTCACTTTGTTTGGCTAGGACTGGAACAAGTGTAAACAAGAAACTTGACATGTCTGCTTAATCAGTTTATATCAATTCAATCGTTGAATCATATAATAAAACAATTATTGTTGTTTTTTTTCTGTCAGGACGATCAATGATTTTCCACCATCGAAAAACAATAATTCCTCGCCCTTTGAGCTCGATAAAACTTTAATTCCTCTATATTCTGAATCATTGCATTGCCCTTAAAAACAGCAATAATTGTATAATGCAATGAGATCAACATATCATCGATTTATTCCAAATTTAGCTTAAGTGAGCATTTTGGCCAACAGGTCTCTTGATTTATTATTTTTATTTTTGCCCTTAAAAATTTCAACTTTATCCACTTTAATCCACAAGGGGTCAATATTCTACGGGAGTCATTTTTCTTCACGTGGGTATGCAGATTTTTAGGGTGATGACACTTTTTCTACGGACAAAAGGGTAATTTTTTGACGTCGAATAATGACCGGGGGTCATTTTTTCGCCGTTAAATAATGACAGGGGGTCATTATTCGACGGCGAAAAATGACCCCCGGTCATTATTCTATGGGGGTCATTACATTTCGTCCTTACACCGGCATGGAAAATGGAGACTCTTTTAGTTGATTATTGTATTCTTCAAGACAAAATCAAAGAGATTGAAGAAACAAATCCAAATTGAAGCACTGGCTGACTAACATGAAATAATTCTATTTGATTCATATATTCAAACGGTCCTTTGACGTTACAAGTTCTCTTTTTCTCGACTTTCCATTTGCAAATCAATCATTTTAAAGGTTTTAGAGCATTGGATAATCTGTAAATATATTTAGAATATATCGTAAGATATAATGGTAACATAATGTAAAAAAAAAATTCAATAGCTTAAAATTATAGTTTTATTATATGTGCCTGTTAATTTTGTCATTTATAAAAATATACGTTTTCTT